TCCACCCAGCAACACTACACCACTACACCCGCCAACGACCACAATACCAGCTCTAACCAGCATCATGCATTCCTCCATCAAGCAACGACTGATGGGGAAACAAACACAGTTCCCCACCATATACAACATGTTCATGAATGGAAGACAATAGATTTTTCCTCCATTAACAACCACCACCAATTCAATGTAAATAGTCTAGGCCTGTACATATGATAATCCACACACTACATATAGTTTAATTAATACACAATTGTCACATAAAGATATGCAGTTACAGAATATTCATTAAATTCATCAACATTATAAAGTTGTACAGTTGTTTAATTCATACATATCCACCCTAAACCCAGACCCAATTAAAACCCACCTGAAGTTTATCATGACCAACCAGCATAACACCATACGAACGCCTCACCATTCAGCTTTCAAAGAACGAGAAATAAAAGGCAAAAATGTCTGTCGCGGGCTCGGCCACAGAGCAAATATCAAAACATTAATATGCATCTCAACCACCATATTTCACCGTTTTAATTAATACAAACACCGAGAAATATTAAACTGACAGACAAATTTCGTAGCAGAAAACTTTTTGTCACAAACTGTGCCACGGAGCATTCACACTACTTAACACTCACCACCGTCACATCCATTTCGAACTACCGTTCACCTTTCAAAGAACGAGAAGTAGACGGAAGACAAATTTTGGGTAATAAATCCATGTCCTACATACGCGAATATGAGACACACTCGCTCTATTTTCACGTGTACACCGTTATCCACTGTTATCTAGTGTCATCTACCGTTATCCACTGTTATCTAGTGTCATCTACCGTTATCCACTGTCATCTACCGTTATCTACCGTCATCTAGTGTCATCTACTGTCATCTACCGTCATCTACCGTCATCTAGTGTCATCTACAGTCATCTAGTGTCATCTACCGTCATCTAGTGTCATCTAGTATCATCTACAGTCATCTACTGTCATCTACTGTCATCCACCGTCATCTAATGTCATCTACCGTAATCTACTGTCATCTACCGTCATCTAGTGTCATCTACCGTCATCTGCCGTCATCTACAGTCATCTACTGTCATCTACCGTCATCTAGTGTCATCTACCGTCATCTAGTGTCATCTACCGTCATCTACCGTCATCTACCGTCATCTACCGTCATCTA